CCTGGGGCGCGAGGGGCGCGCCCTCCCGGCCCGCGCTCATTGGCTGGCCCGGTGCCAGGAGGTGTTCCCGGCGAGCGCTGGCGGGGGTCCCAAGGCCGCCTTCACTCTCTCTGCCCCGCCCAGACCGGGATCCAGTTCTGTAGGGCACCTCCATTTCCTCTCCTGTGGTTCCGGGGAGCCCATACAGGTTCCCGACCCACCCCACAGGCTCCGGCTTTTGGCTCGGCACCTGGGGTATTTGCTGGTCGGGAAGGAGAGCACATTTTCCGAAGTGAAACAAGCTGCTTCCGCACCGAACTTTCCCCAGGACCAAGAGCTGTAGACAGTCCGTGTAAACAGTGGGGGTGAGGGAGATAATGTGGGATCAGGTGCTCCAAGCCCTCCTTCCCCTCATGGTGGGCAGGGATTCTTGGCCACCGTCGGGTAACAGGCGCAGGCACAGCCAGGTAGGGTGGGTAATTTCCCACAAGTCAGAGCTTACCCTCTGGCATTCTTCGGACTTGGGCACGTCCGGCCAGGTGGGGCTCAGTGCTCCCTGCGCCGGCAGAGATTTTCAGCAGGGAACCTTCCTCATTCAGAGTCAGGTGAGCTCCTGGGGTCCCCACTCCCTGGCCTCATTCCCTTGTCAGAGAAGGTTCTCCATAGAGTGCTAGGATTCCTGCCCCCCCCCCCTCATGCCGCAGAGGGGAGAGACTGACCCTGGGGACTGGGTCTGGAGGTAAAGGAGAGGAACGCCTTGGTTGGGGGACCCGCAGAGACTGAAAGGAACGTTGTAGTGGAAGTTGGGGGACCCTGGGCCTGCCGGGTGCTGACCCTGCTTTATGGTCTAATAAATTATTTCAAAGAGCCAGCACGGCATCAGCTTTCTGTTTGTGTTTACGTCGGATGCATTAGGCTCAGACTGCTCCTGGACATGTCCGGTATCACAGAGCCGTTGTGTGGTCGGGGTGTCTGCCTGATCCTGGCGGTCAGGAGCTCGTTCCCCAGAACCCCGCCCCAGGAGATTCAGAGGGAGGGGCTAACTTGGCTGGGGCAATGTTCCCTGCAGACTGAGCGTCAAGGGGAGGGAAGAAAGAGAAGTCGGCGGGGTCCTGGCCCCTACCTCTGACCCCCTGCCAGGAACTTGACCCTTGGCCTCGGTGCCTGCATTTGTCTGCAAAAGAGGCGAGGAGTCCCGGGAGTGGCTCCCAGCGGGAGGGCATGGAGGGAGAACGGAGGAATGGGTGAATGCAAACGTGCTTTGTGAACGGTGTGTCACAGCGGGTGTGTTGGAAACGAACTGCACCCGGATAACCTCCTTCCTCTTAGCTCCCATTTGTCCCCTCCCCCCATTTCCCCATCACCAGAGGGGACTTGTTCTGTTCAAGGTTTTGGGGATCCACACCCTGTCCAGACCCGGGATTGTCAACCCTGGAACCGTCCCCATTTGAGTCCCTGGCCCCTGTTCCCTTGTGCGCAAAGGTCCGGGATCGCGCCCTAAGATTCCAGGTGGCTCCACACCCGACCCGGAGCTTTCTGGCCAGGCACAATAACCTCAGCCTACCCGGTCCCCAAAGACCACACAAGCGCACGGTCCCTCCGTTGGAGCCTGTTTATTGACATGCAGAGACGGAAGCCCGCGGGGCGGAGGACTCAGCGGTACTTCTCGGTCAGCACCACCGACACGCCCGTCAAGAATTTATCCCACGCCGCCTGCATCTCTACGGTGAACTCGCCCTGCAGGTGGGAGGCCAGCACCACCTGGAAACACTGGATCAGCAGCTGCGGGAGAAGGGGCGGATGAAGGGGCGCTGCCTTTGCCGATTCCCTCTCCAGCCCCAACCCCGGCTGCGCGCGCGCGCGAACCCTACGGGGGCCCGGGCGGGCTCACAGGGAAGTTGGAGGGGTCCACGCGGAGCACTTGCGCGTGCAGGTCGGCGAGCGGACTCAGGACCGCGCGCAGGTTGTCCATGTGTCGCACGGCCACGCCCACCGCCTCGAGCATGCGTTGTCCGTGGGTCAGCAGCTGAGTCTCGTCAGGGCAGAAGCCCAGGTGCTTGAAGTAGACCTTGGTGCTGGGGTAGACCGTGAAGAGCCTGACGGAGCAGGTGGGTGAGTGAGGAGGGCGGCCGCGTGGGGTCCTTCCCGCGCCTGCACTGCCCAGACACCCGGAAGCCCCCCACCTCGGCCCCTCCTCCGACTCAGGCCCCAAACCCCTGGCACCGCCCCCCTGCGATCCTGGAAACCCCGCCTCAACCCACCTGAGCAGCAGCTCCGCCCCAAAGGACGCCTCGTGGCCGGCGATCAGGTCCCAGACCTGCGCGACCTGGGCGCGCTCTTGGGCGCTGAGCATGGCGTTGGCGGGGCGTGCTCTGGGGGCCCCTCCCGCCGGGCCGGCCTCCTTATAGCCTCCCCACACCCCAGGCGCCCCGCCTGCCCTTATCTGCGGGACGGCGGCCGGAGCGCGGCGACCCTCGGCCGGCACCGGGAAGCGTCTCCAGGCTAGGTCCCTGTGGCCGCGGAGGCCGCCGCCCGGGGCGGGGGGTGTTACCCGCACGGACTCACGCGCTGTGCGTGCGCGCTTTTGCTGCAGACATCAGCAGGATCTGGAATAACCCCCGTGCGGGCAAAGTGAGGGCCTGTCCAGGAGACAGCCGGTGGAAGGACTGGGGAAAGAGCGCCGCGCAGGGACGGGGCGGGGGCGGGGGTCCTAGCATGGGGCCCAGCAGCGCGGGAGCTGTGACATCAGGCTGTGAGGAAAAGCCCCCCCGAGGGCGCACACGCCTGCAGCGCGCTGAGTAAAGCAACCGTTGGGCGATTTGGGCGGCAGGAGAGGAGCAAGCCCTCTCTGGCCTGAGAACCGCATGGGCCAGCCTGCGCTGCTTTGCCTCTCCCCGACTCGTGTGTAGGCATCGCCCCAGAGCATCCTTTCGGTGGCTTTAAGCCGGTGGTGACCCTGGGGTCGACCGCATTCCTGCAGCTCCCGCTTTCTTTCACTCCCCTCTTTCCCGCCAATACTGAGAACGCAAGAGCCACTTCCTCCTCATCCATTTATTGGAGAATCCGCGGAGGAATTATGGAAGGTTCAGGGGCAGGGAAGGGGCGGCAGCCTGCCCTCGGTCGGGCGGCTGCGCTCAGCGGTACTTCTCGGTCAGGACGGCCGACACGATGGACAGGAACTTGTCCCAGGCGGTGTGGGCGTCGGCGGTGAAGTCGGCGGGGAAGTGCGAGGCCACGGTGACCAGCAGACAGTGCGACAGGAGCTGAGGGGCGGGAGCGCGGCCCCGTGAGCGGCCGGTGCGGGTGGGGGTGCTGGGGGGGACGGAGACCCCGCAGCCCACACCCCGCGGCTGCCCGCGCCCCTCGCCCCCCCCCCGGGACCCCAGCCCCGCGCCCACCTTGAAGTTGACCGGGTCCACACGCAGAATGTAGGCGTGCAGCTCGCTCAGCTTGGCCAGGGCGCCCCCGATGTTGTCGATGCTCTTGACCGCCTCGCCCAGGGCGGCCACCACCTTGGCGCCGTGCATGCGCAGGTGCGCGGAGCCCGGGTGCAGGTCGAAGTGCGGGAAGTAGGTCTTGGTCTGGGGGTAGCTGGCGAAGAGCCTGCGGGCAGGGGCGACAGCCACACCTGGTAAGGCCAGCGCGTGTGCGCCTCGGGCGCCAAGCTTACCGGGCCTTGAAAAGGCCAGCGGCCTGGAGAAGTCATACTTGAAGGCAGCATTTCAAGACATAAACATTAACGCAAACCATTCACGTTGAATACGATGTTATAATTTTACACAAGGACGGGATCCCCATTGCCGCTTCCCCTCTTACCCCAGGCTCAGACAGGGCACGGTGGAATCCCACCCTCACCGTCCCCTCGCTGGGCAACCCGTTCATTCCTTCACTGATTCCTTCCAGCGATGTTTGTGGACACCTGGGCGCTGGGCCCAGCGCAAAAGACAGTCTCACAGCCACGCGCCCTCTCCGTCTACCTCCTCTTTCTGCTCCCCGAGTGTCGACCCCCTCCTCTGTGGTCCCTCCGTGCTGGGCCCTGTCCTCCCTAACCCCACACTGTGTCCTCCCTGGCTCTGTGCCAGCCCACGGGGCGCCACTCACCTCTCCAGGGCCTGGGTGCCAATGGCATCGGCCTGGGTGGAGATCTTGTCCCACATGGACAGGATGACGGTCCTCTCGGCCTTGGTCAGAGACATGGTGGTAGCGGAGCTGGGCGTGCTCAGGACTAGCCTCTGTGGGGCTCACCCCCCCAGGATCCCTTTATACACAGGGAGGCTGGGTGGGGGCCAGGCTGTGGCTGTTGGTCTGGAGAGGGGACAGGGCTGTGGGGGTGGGGTCTCTTATCAGACCCAGCGAGGATGGGTGGTCAGGGCCTGGTGGCCGGGCCCCTGAGGGGCTCTCACTCCAACCTCCCCGACGGGGACACAGCTAGAGTCCACATTGCAGGGAGATAGGGGCCAAGCCTGGGTGGAGAGTCCACATGTCAGCCCAGCCCCCGGACTGGCCTCCACAGCCCTTGTCCCCGACCCCTGTCCTTGTGGTGGAAGGTGACCTAGAATGCCTCAGGCTCTCACAGAAGCACTCCCCCTCCTTCCTGTGCTGGCGCCTCTCCCCTGCCGCCTCGTTTACAGTTTGCGGAGGACGGAACCAAGGTCCACAGAGGGAAACTGAGGCCAGCTGTCACAGGGTGCGAGTAGCAGTCTTGGCTTCAGACACTGCTCTGTAGCCTCTGCCCCACCCAGATGAAGTTCTTCTCCCCCAGAATCCTGACCAGGGGGACTCCCCCTTCTGGGTCCCCGGGCCGGGGGGAGGCTGGGCTCCTGACGCAGAGCCTGGGACTACAGGAGCCTGCGGTTCCCCTGCCCCGTTTCCATCACAGCCTCTACTGTGTCTCCTCGCCCTCCTAGCGTTTTGTATCCCCTTTCCCCCTCCCCCGTAAGGCAACTGTTCTAATGTGCTTAACTAGTTCCTTTAGTTAGTATGTGTTCTTGCAAAGGGTACATTTTTAGGCAAGTATTTTAAGTTAAGTTATAGCTTGATTCTTAAAATTTAACATAGTCATTTCCTCACAAGCACACCTTTTTTGAAATACAAGAATATTTCTTTAGGAGCACCTGCGCGGCTCAGTTGGGTAAGTGTCTGCCTTCAGCTTGGGTCATGATCCTGGGGTCCTGGGGTCAAGGTCAGAGTGGGGCTTCTGCTCAGTGGGGAGCCGGGGAGCCGGCTTCCCCCTCTCCCTCCACAGCTCCCCTTGCCTGTGCTCCTTCTCTGTCAAATCAATCCATTAGTCAATCAATCTTTTTCAAAAGAAGAAATATAGGAATTTTAAGATTAATTGATTTATTATGTGAGAGAGAGAGAGACAGAGGGAGAGAGCATCTGACGCAGACTCGCAGACTTGTGGAGGAGCTCGGAGCCTGACACGGAGCTCGATCAAAGGACCCTGAGAGTCTCTCCACCAACCGAGCCCCCGCCCCCCCGCCCCCGCCCCCAGCGTCTCTGACAATATTTTTCCACAGAAACAAAGGCTGAACACAACTGCAGCACAACGGTAATGGCCCTGACCCCTCAGGGATGAGGCTTAGAGTTACTCTCCTCTGTTTGCCTGTGCGCCCCTGTGTTTTCACCGGGCTCCCACACAGTCCTCGTTACTAAGCCCATCCCGTGCCATGAGGGGGCACCTGAGTGGGGCAGTCCCCGACCTCACCCTGTCTTGGTATGAGCAGGGAGTTGGGGCCTCCAGGCGGATCCCAGAGTCCAGGCCTGAGTCCGGTGGGGAGGCCCCAGTTTCCTCAGCTGACTCCCCCTGTCCCACATCCCCCGTGCTGGCCCCCGGGGCTGCCTTCCGGAGAGTACCCGGTGGGGCTCCCCAGGCCTCCACGTCAGTTCTGCTCCTGGGCTGGGCCAGCCCTCACGGGGTGGCTGCGCGTCTCCGCGGCCTGGCGGCGTTCAGGGTGACCCCTTCGGTTTGCCCGTGGGATTGAGCCGTTGCCCACATGATGGTTTGACTCTCTGGGTTCCTTTTTGCTGGCCAGCAAATCTCCAATCTCCAACTTCCTCTCCAAAGCTTGCTTTTTTTTCTTTTTTCTTTTTTTTTAAAAGATTTTATTTATTTATTTGACAGAGAGAGATCACAAGTAGACAGAGAGGCAGGCAGAGAGAGAAGGGGAAGCAGGTTCCCCGCTGAGCAGAGAGCCCGATGCGGGGCTCGATCCCAGGACCCTGAGATCATGACCTGAGCCGAAGGCAGAGGCTTAACCCCCGAGCCACCCAGGTGTCCCTAAAATCTTTAAAAAATAGGGCACTGGGCAGGGAGCCTCAGTCAGTCAGGTGGCTGCCTTCAGCTGAGGTCATAATCCTGGGATCCAGTCCCACAATGAGTCCCACAGTGAGTGCCACTCTGGAATCCTGACCCGAGCCCAAGGCAGCCGCCCAACCGACTGAGCCGCCCGGGGGGCCCCTTAATTAAACATGTTCATTGTAACAGCAATCCTGACAAGAGGACAGCTTAAAGGGACACTTGGGTGGCTCAGCTGGTTAAGCCTCTTGCACTCTCTCCCTCTAACAAATAAATAAAATCTTTTTTGAAAAAGTACAGCTTAAAAAACAAAATTTCAAAAAAAAAAATTTCCCTTCTCACCTACTTACCTTCAGAGATAACCCTTCCATGATTTCCTAGGACTTTTCCCACGAATTAGGAACATATGTGTTAGGGGGCGCCTGGCTGGCTCAGCCCATAGAGCACGCAACTCTTGTTTTCAAAGAGATTTATTTATTTGAGAGAGAGAGAGAGAGAGCAAGCAGGAGGGACAGACGGAGACGGAGAGTGTCATGCACACTCTGCGTTGAGTGTGGAGCCGATTTCATGACCCTGAGGTCACGACCTGAGCAGAAACCAAGAGTCTGATGCTTGACGGACTGAGCCACTCAGGTGCCCTCAACATGCAGCTCTTGATCCTGGGGTGTGAGCTGAGGCCCATGCTGGGCATAGAGATCACCAACAAACGTGTGTGTGTGTGACCATGAAACTATGCCTGAGAGCTCAGTGGGGTATCATTCCCCCATTTCAACGTCTGGGGCTGCCAGGGTCCCGTGTCCCCAAGACGGGGCCGGTTAGCGCTGTGTCCTTAAAGCCTTCCTAAAAGCTGCCTTGTCTGTTCATAGAGACGACGCATGGTCCTTGAGACCCCTTGAGGGAGTTTGCAGACTAGGAGGTGAATGGACGTTACTTACATCTTACCAGGCACACTCGCTTGTGTTTTCTTCCTTTCGCGAAGAATTACCCTGGAATTCTTCGAATTCCTTCCTTCCGAATTACCCCGGAAACGCGTCTTCGTGTCCTGCGGACCAGCGTGTGCGTACCTGTCACAACCGGCCCGTGGGGCCCGCTGGAGCCAGCCATCTGGGAAGCTAAGTCTGAAACCACAAGTAGGCATTGGAGGCTCACCGTGGGGGCCCTTGCTGGCCGGGTGCCGGCGCCGTCCCGGCGAGCACGGCTGAAGTGCAGCAGAAATGCCTTCCGCGTCTTCACAGAGGATGAGGACAGCATTCAGGCCCCGAGCTACAGAGAGGACCCACAGGAGACTGCCAACCCTTCCCTTGGAAATCCCTCCCAGGAAGGATCTCCAGACCAAATGGAGGCTGTAGAGAGGATTGGGGGGACTCACGGTGTGCAGGCCTGGGCTCCCTCCTGCCCTCATGGGGCTGCCCACACGTTTGAGTCTCCAGAGCCACCGGAACAAACAGGCACTGGTTGTTTTAGGTGGGAAGGATCCCTGGGGTTGTCTGGGGCCCAGTGGAAACTGAGGTCCAGAGTGGAGGAGAGGTTGGGCACAGTCACAAAACCCACAGGATACTCAGCCTTGGGCCTCTGTTTGCCGATGCCAAAGGCCCGCTCCTGGCGGGCAGCTCCTGGGCAGCCAGGCGTGTGGGACCACCCCGTATACCCCACTCCCGTGCTCCTGGGCAGGAGTCCTTCTGGGCCCATGTCCACCCTGGAGAAGGGGGTCCCACCTTGGGCACCGCCCCTCAGAACAGAGTCTCTCTGTGGCCCTGAGAACCCCCAGACCCTAACACCAGGCAAGGAGCCAGAACCATCTCCGGCAGGCTCCTGAAAGCCCCGGAAGCTCCGTGGCACCTTTGCAGGTGGCATCCGACCCCGCCCTGAGCCAGGCCGGCTCTAACAGCTGGGGGCGCAGCACTGGACCCAGGGACAGAAACCCATGCTGGCCAGAGCCTCCGTTCTAGAGCCGAAGCCGTACAATACAGAGAGCGCGCAGCAGGCAGGCGCAGCAGCGACGACCCTGACCCCGGGCTGCCGCCCCACCGCCCGCGTCCTCCTGTGACCGTGAGGACCAAAGCCCCAGGTGAGCACGGAGGAACCGCAGGCGAGCCCAGCACCCCCGTCCTGGCAGAGAAGGCTTCTAGGTGAGGAGTTTCAAGCTACGGGATCACAGGGCTACTCCCACTTCTCAGCAGCATCCCGTCGCGGGCAAAGCCCCGCTTCCTCGGCCCCGATCGCTAAACACCAGGCCCAGCTCTCTAGCTCGGAGGCCCAGCATGTCCCGCGCTGGGTGGTCCCCTTCCAGCCAAAGAGCTGCCACAACCAGGCGTGTCCTCGTGGTCTCTGCACGGCATTGACGTCAGGAGCGAAGAGACAGGGGAACGTGGTGGTGGTGTTGAGAGGTTGCAGTTTTATTTTATTTATTTTTTATTATTTTTTAAAGATTTTATGTATTTATTAGAGAGAGGCAGAGAGCGCGGAGGGAGAGGGAGAAGCAGGCTCCCCGCTGAGCAGGGAACCCGACGGGGGCCTCGTCCCAGGACTCTGTGACCATGACCCGAGCCGAAGGCAGACGCCCACCCCACGGAGCCCCCCCAGACACCGCGAGGGTTTGCAGTTTTAGATGGAGTAGCCGGGGGAGACATCACTGGGAAGGCAAACTTAAGCAAGTATTGAGCAGCGGGGAGAGTAAGCCAGGAGACGCCGAGGGCGAGAAAGTGTGCAGCGAGCAGAGGGAGTCGGCAAGGGCACAGGCCCCCAGAGGGCCGGGCCTGCGTTGCTGGAGAGGAGCATGCAGAGGCAGGGCGCCTGGGGCGGAGGGAGGGTGGGTCTCCAGCCAGCACCGTGCGTATCCCCCCGTGGCCCCCTGTCCTGCCGCCGCCTGCGTCCCGCGGTGGGGAACGTTTGCCGCGTTGGCTTTGTTGGTCTGCATAGGGATCTACCAG